CTCGAAGGGTATTACGAGTGCTTATGTAATAAGTAATCGTCTATTTGGGAAATCGATATGAGGATTTTTCGACCTCTGAACAAGTCAGTCCCCCGGGATCGTTATGATAAAATAGTGGCTGTGTTGAAGTCTTTTTTGCGAGTCTCATTAGATTTTTTTGTGATAACATAGTGGCTGTAACCGGCTATATTACCGGCCCGCTTTCTGAACTGCATCCTGGCGTGTGTTCGATCCTCGGTGCGTACACATTAAATATGTCTAGGAGTAACATTCACTCAAGCCCAAATAAACCTAGGGCATCAAACCTTACTTAATATGTGCACAGTCAGCCATCTGCCAGCACCAGGTAGGATGAACCAAAGTTGTCTCAATGGGACACTGTGGCTGTCCGCATCTAGCGCACAGCTATACAGACAGATCCCAACTCAACATGGACAAATAATATGGTCAATTATTATTGACTCCGAGTGAGGTCATGAAGATGAATGAACTCAAGACAAGTATGCATGTTTGATGCTTTTAGTAGATGGACTGTACTATTAAAAATTAGTTGTTGTCATTCAACAGTTGACAGCATTGAGTTCTGCTCATATACAATTCGATTTTACCTTGAGAAAACTGTCCTGGGTCCATGGAAAGCTGATGAAAGATATGGAAAATGTACTGGCATTCTCAGTTACATGGGTTTGCAATGACAATGAAAGACGAGAATAGGCAGGATGGGATCAATATATTGGATGACGCAGGCTCATAGAGCGCAAGGTGAATGGACAAGATTGGTGCAAAGCGGCAGGAAACGGTGAGCAGGAAAAAAATAGGGACACCAAGTCCATGAAACCAGGTACAGTGCCCGTCATCACATCACGGTTCCGCTTTTGGCAGTAAACAAGTCAAAACTTTGAACCTCTAATTACATTACACCCTCATCATGAGTGAACCTAAAACATCTCGGAAACACTCAAAGGATGCATCAAGAAGATCCCTTGTGCTTGGTTAGTCAATCAAAGAAGATTTTATTTTTTGTTGGCTGAAAAAGTGAAACAAACCCTAATGATGACATCAAATTCTCATATTGGGTAGGGTTAAAGTCACGTGTCTAGTTTGGACGCCTGCGTCGAAATTCTGTGGTCTGTTACTAGACCATTTGTGAGAGCTCAGCACAATATGAAACATTATCAAAGCATCCCTGCTTCCTTATGAAGGCTTTGCCTGTGTCATACTGGTGATTCGGGCCAACTTTTTTTTTCCTGGACCCCGAAAAAGTGAAACACCATGGGAAAAAATGAGTTTTTGTGCTCAATCACATTCTTTTGGTCGGTTTCATGGCCCAGAAAATCACAGAAAAATCACAAAAATTCCTTTGCCCCCGAAAAACACGTGCAGAGAAGTGATGACGGGCACTGTAACTATTTTATGGCCATGTCACTAAGGGCCTGATCGGCAACCGTGAATTCACGCATGAATTTTGGTGGAATTTTTTATGAGTACCAAACTCGTCCCTAGACTACCCCAGATGGTCGAATAGGCCCTTTTAATGAACATCTGAGGTTGGAGAGTGGGAGACATAGTGTAACACAGAATCTCCCATAGATTTCACAGATGATGCAAAAAAATCAAGTTCAACTCAGCTTATTTTGAAACCGTCACACCGCTTCCACTCAAGCTCCTCGAGATTTCAGGAGATGCATGTGCTTTTCATTCTAGGAGGGTTTAGGGACCAAATCCGTGGGAAAGATAGACGGAAACGAGATTCAGCCAAAATTCACGCAAAAAGATTCATGGTTCCCGATCAGGCCCTAAGTATACTTGCTCAATTCAACCCTGTTTTTCCTCTTATTGTCAGTTGTTGGTCGTATATAATTCGATATCATCATGGGAACTCATTGGTTAGAATTGTCGAGTCTGAAAATATTGTTGATTTTTTGTGACAGAATAGTGGCTGTGTAACCAGCAATTCGTGGTCCGGCTTCTCGAAATTCTCGAAATGACCTTTCACATGTGTTCAAATTCCGCTCCATGTCTACTAGTAGCACATTCAATTTCCATTTTTGTGCAAGTTGTCTGAAAGTCAATGAGAGACTCAATCAGGCTCTGTCTGTATCGAATAATCCATTGCCTGGAAGTCAAACTCATTTGGTTCTTTCAATGTGGATTTGAGGTCTAGAGGCCCATCAACCATTGCAGAAAGATCTTTGGTTTACCGTTTTTGATAGAGTAGTATGTAGTGAATAAACTTCCTTCCTTCTATTCAGGGACTAGCATAAGAGGCGAAGAATTACTATGCTGAAATCAAAACCCACTGCACACTGCTGGGTATGGCACCAAGCAGTTGACTTGGGAATGAAGGGCTGCCAGGCCGATCTAGACTGCGGTGCAAGGCAGTGCATCAAAAAAATTCCACCAGGCCGGTCAGATTTGGACATCAACTAAACTTGAGACATACAGTGTCCAGGCATTTTTAAGTTGTAACCGCACCTGCTGTGAAGGAGGAGCGAACGAAGGTCGATAATGATACAATCTACCACCTCGAGATTTTTTTTTGCTCTACATTTGCTGCAACCAGTGGCCAAAAGCCTGGGCTTTTTTTTTTTGAGCCCGACTCAGTCCTGACCCTATATCGGCCTCAGAATTTTTGAAAACCCAACCAGGCTTGGGCCTGGCTCTCTTGCACCCCTTTCATTCTGGGATTCTGATCCAAAATCACTTCGAAGAATCACTTGCTCCACATCAAGTTCAACCAAAAGTTTTAGCATAGTAAGATCCTGAATATTTTGATAGAGTACAAGTCTGTTGTACAATCTTGACAAGCCTTGTCTTGTGGCTGGAGTAACTCTGATACTTATGTCACATGTGAGGTGAGTGATGAGCTGCATTGGCTGTAGTACTCACCTTGGTAGAGTTGGGAAATAATAAGACCAAGCCCAGGCTCAGGATATCCTGTTACCCAGGCCTACTGAAGAAGAAAAGGTAGGTCCTAGGGGGGGAACTGAGTGGGTTCCCAGGTCGTGCCGGTAATGGCGCCGAGTCGTGAGTCTGTAATCCCCGTCGTGCGGTTGATAATGAGAGCTCTAGAAATAGAATAGTCAGTGTGATGATGAAACTTAAATAAGGAAATGCTCAGCTCGGTATGGAACAAGACTCAGAGGTGGGTATGGGAAATCCGAGTGAGTGGGAATGTGGTGGTAAGAGGGAGAGAGGGGATGGGATGGCTGCTCGTGTCCTCTTACGACACCGGAGCCTAAGAGAAAAATGTGAAACTAACGAAATATACGTAAAATGGCCATGGCAAATCCTTCAACTCGTGCTGGACTTTCAGCACAATACGAACTGGGAGCTGCGCGAAGACACTGCGTTCCGGCCTCCCCTAGACTCAGACTCAGGTTAGGTACCTAGGCATATAGCTCTGGCTAGGTGACTAGACTTAGTCTGATTAGCTCTGGGTAGGTCTGCGTAGCTCTGAGTAGGTCTTTAGAGGTCTGTTGAGGTTAGTTTAGGTCAGTGTAGCTCTTTCTAGTCATATATACAGAGGTGCCCCCAGCTGAATGTCTGGCCTTTTGTCAAATTTGAACCATATTTTGACAATCTTTTTTGAACACTGGGTATGAATAGGCCGTCTAAATTTTAATAGACAAAAATTCAAAATGGCTACAATGACCTATACAGATCAGCACTGAGCTACACGGAGTCAGTCTATGTGATCTGTCACCAGGCTACACAGGGCTAGAGTCGGCTACACACAGCTGTCCAGAATGTGAGTGTAGTGATCTAAACAGGGTCTGTGTAGTGATCTAGGCCGATCTAGTCTGGCCTAGCCATAGCTACAATCCGCTGGCCAGACCTGAGTCTAGGGGTTAGCGGAACGCAGTGAGACATATAGGGAGATGATGCCCCACTCAGCGCGACAGTGGGTGCCCAATCCACATCATAGTTGATCCCTAGCGCAGTCCGAGTCCGCACGGCATCCGGATCAACGGTCACCTCGATATTGCTACATTGGAAGTAATGGAATAGTACCGTATTTTGAGTGATCAGCGAGGTCGAATACGGAGAATAGCTAAAAGGATATCAATAACATAATGAATGAGTCCAGACCATGTTTAAACTTCAAGAAAGGTGCGACGGGCGCAACGATCCGATCGCGGGAAGCAACTTGAGACCTTGCATATAGCACGGAAGAACTGGGACTTGAATCTCAGAGCAAATCTGTGGATGTAGGATTCAGTAGGAAGCAAATTAGATTGTCGAGAACGTGTAGGGCACGTGAAATGGGAGACTAAAGGGAAAACCGGCGCGGCGTTTCCGAATGTGTAACCGGGCCGAGACCTGAAGTCGACGAGCACAGCGAGGGCCACAGTGTTATGTTGGTTGTTACAACTCCGAACGAACAATCTCGCTTCCGCGGTTTTGTGGTTGCCCAAACAAACTTCAAGGTAAAAGGGGTGAACTCTTCTGGAGTTTTTGAACATATACTAATGGAGGGTGGTCAAATATTTTCAAGAAATATTCTCCTTGAACACAAAACAATATCCCTTCCTTGTAACTTACATTTTCTCAGATTCACAACAGACTGCCTTGGCACTTGGCCGATATCTGAGTTCCATATAAATATAAAAGGATAAGAGAAACCAAGCATAAGTGCGAGTTTTTGCCGGGCACCGCCACGGCCCCCCACCCAAGTCCGGAATTGAACAGTTAGGAATTGAATCCGAGTCGAATTGCGATCATTATAAGTATTCAGAGAGGGAGTTCAGAAAAAGGATATATACTTTGAGGTTGGGATCCTACAGAAAACGACGAGCGTGTTTTTTCTACCATTTGGGAGCCAATTACTGTCCTCCGAGGCCTGAGCGCTGAGCTTCCGGTTGAGCATCTGTCCACATGAGACCAATTGACTTTCCCGCTTTTGAGGTGGCACGAAATTGTCTTCTAGGCGGTCAAGCTGATCGCTATTCCCATCTGTATCTCGATTCATCCATGAATACTAGCACCTACCAAAAAGTCATAGACACGGGGAATTGAACCCCGATTTGCTCTCACTCAGATTCCCACGAGCGTTCACGAGAGCCGTGCTATCCTTTGCACCATGTCTTGATATTGTTCTTGGGAGCTGAAGGGTCCTATATAGGGTCAAATTCAACAATGCGGAATCGATGGTTCACTGTAACGAAAGTTGAACGCTACGTCTGCGAAAGCACCTATATACCATGTGTCTACATGTACATAACCTATTTTCCCCCGTCTTCCTAAAAATTCGCTTTTTTCTGAGGATAGTCCGTCAGTGTCTGCATATCTCTTTCACCAACGGTACTGACCCGTATATCACCCAGCTCCATCGGCGTTTCGTACCTCAAATCCGTCTCGCGCACGACGTGTATTCTGACGGGGTGGTTTTGCGACTCCGGGAGTTGTAACGATTGCAAATCGTGGTTGGACGCTTTCGAATCCATCCCGCGGTTGTTGAGCACCGCGACGAGGCAGTTTGTGTACCTGATCGAAGATAATGTTTGAGTTCACAAAATCGCCAATTACGCGTGCTTACAATTTCCCGATGATCGCCGTTCTAGTTTGAATTAAGGTTGAGCGGGTGGGAAGGAAACAACCAGAGTCGAGTGTTGCTACGATACTTGTGTAAGGATGGAGGAAATGCAGACCCAAGAAAGCACTAACGGGGGCTGCCCAGAATAAGATGAGCGCCACGAGGGCTACTCCAGTTAGAATGAACATCTCAGCCTGTGTTACGGAAGCCTCAGCACCACCGTTGGGATGTACCGGTGAGGGCGTTTGTCTCAACGATGAGTCGAACCACTCCCTTGATGAGATTTTGTGTTGCGGGGAGAGTTCCCCTTTTTTCGCGGAGAAGCTACACATACTCGATGTCATAATGAATTTTCAGATAGATATTATTATCCGCACACGCACCGACCATGAGAGCACCCCGGCAATAGCGACATCAGCCACAGCACCGCCTACAAGCCATATCTACGCCACATCAATGACGCGCAGGTAAACACGCGTACGGGCAGCCCGACGCACCGTTTGCTCGACAACCTCGGTGCTGATGAGGGAAAGCTTTCCGAGTAGGTGAGCCTAGCGCGCCACTGAGACGAGTGCAAAGAGGGCGAAAAATATGACCGTACCTTCACAGCCGTAACTATTCCCGCGGCACATTGCATCAGTGAAACCTGAGGCGAGGCAATTAAGACCATAGGGAGATATCCTGCGTGAGACAACGTACGAGCAGGATGAGTCCTGGGATTACGAATCCCTTCCGTATAAAGTAAATGCGCCAGCAATAAAATCTCTGGACGATGAGAGATATCACGGCATCAAGGAAGGGGATATCCTAAGAGTTCAGGAACGTCTCGTTGAGCTGATCCATATTTCCGAAGCCGTAGACAAACCAACGGAAAGCATCGGCGGTGACCATGCAAGTTTGTAGCACTTCCAAAAGGGCCAGCCCGTATACTAGACCACCATTAGCATAAAAGCAGTACACTGAAGCGGCGGAGTGTCCACACACCAAAGAGCCTGATTGACGTCCGGTCGCCGTGAAAAATTTTCATGGTAGAAATCTAGTGCGATGATCAGAGTTAAACAGGATGCGGGGCGCTGGCTTTACGCCTTACATATTTGCGCCAGCAAGAGGCCCATGAACCCCCAGTTGAGGCATATCCCCAACATCTTCGCGGCTTGTCAGATTGTATTCTATCGACGCGTGCAAGAAACTGACCGTCGGCCCCGTGCTTTCATGTCCAGAGAGTTAAGACACTACTTTCAGAAACGTAGGTGGACACGTACATGAGGACGATATTTTGGGGGATCAGGGGAGCGGTCATGGTCTTGCGCGTGGCTGCGCCGGTGGGTCCTGTTAAATGATATAACCAAAAAAAATATCGTCATATCTAAAATGCAAAAAACCAATGATCAGATGTTCGGGGAATGGAACTTGCCGAATTGATAGCAATAGTCCCACTTCAAACGTCGCCCAAAAAGCGAACTAGCAGATCAGTGTTTCCTTTTTTCAGTTGAGCGAAAATTAACGGGACCCGGATGTATCCTGAGTCTTATCCCGATCTGAGCAGCTCTCGTTGCACGCTAATTTCTGGGATGCTTTCCACTGCAAGCCTGCGAGTCGCCGGAGGAACCCATGGAGCGTGGCTGGGCGTGCCAGTAAGAAGCAGGATAATAGTGGCCCATTACTCGGCGACATCGGCGTACCGCGGCGGAACTTCTCAATTTCAATATTAGGGCATGTTGATTTCATGTGCGCTGTTTCTTATTATATAGACGTGTCTGATCGCTATTGTTTCTAGCTCGTAAAGTCGCCAGGGTGTTTATTAACGTCGCCTCTCACCTACAGTATCGATATTAACAAGGGCTCACCGGGGCGCTTCGCGGGGACCTTGGATTCGGAAGACAAAAAGCTGCCGGAGGGTGTGCGGGGCGGAGAACATAAATCTGTTGACGGCGGCGACCCTCGGCCTCGTGGTTTCACGGAGAGTGGTTATCATAGAGTGTCCATTCTGCTTTGCAAATGCGAGGGACAGCAGCGCGGATTAGCCCAGGGAAATGAGTACAGAATAGTGAGACGCTACTCAAAAGTTTTAAAACCGTGACGGACCCTTGTATAGTCGATGAAACGCGCAAAAGCTTGAAGGGTAGGAGATTTACTGAATCAGAAAATTGTATATCTACGGACCTGCGGTCACCTGCCCCGGCGGAAACATGTACTCGTTCTTTGGGTGGAAGCGAATAAACCGCCAGTGGCGATAAGCTGGCGAGTGACGCCGTTACTGCGTCACCCGGGCCGTGCCTCGGCCGGGTGACTCCTCAACGTGTTCAGTCTGAGTCACGACTCACCACCTGGCACCATGAGCTGAGGCTTCTTTCTGATTCATACTAGTAGCGACGCGTGCTTTCTCAATTACGTCGCTTCGCGTTTCTTCCAAACGCCTTGTTGAGCTAGCAGTTTCTTGTCGACTTCCCTGCGAGCGATCATCCCGTTTTCCAGCCTGAGTGCCACTTGAAAACCGCTCACCAGTTTTATTTTTACAGGTGGCAAGGCAAAGCTAAGTAGCCTCGGCTCGAATCCGGAGCCCATGGATAACTGATTGGTACCACTATACAACATTCCTTGGCCTCGACTTCGCGAGCCCGAATCAAGCCTGAAATAGGTTTTCAGCCACCATCATCCGAAAACTTATATGAGAGAATTGGCAATAATATCTCCCTCCTGCAGCCTGCCGATGTCGACCATTGCTGCCGATGGGTACTCGGTGCCCAACTTGTTGACACGATCCGCCGCCGTAGCGCCGTTCCAATTGGGAACCACTACTCTCGTCGCAAACGGTCGACATGACTGCCAGCGCGATCCTCTTTCTTTCCGTTCTCGTAGGCCTTATCCCTGCATTGTGGTTTCAGTATGCACGCAAGGTGAGCATTGCTCTTATCCTGGAATCCCCTCTTAATGTCCGCAGGCCAGTTCCGTACCGGCAGTCGGCTCTTCTGGAATCTGGGAATACTACACGGGCGGATTTCGATTTCTCCTTCATGCTCCAGACATGGTGAAACAGGGATGCAGAGAGTATCCAGGTCGCGTCTTCCGGGTACCACGTTTGTTTCGCTGGGAATTCGTTGTTTCCGGCGCGACTCTTATCAACGAGGTCGCATCAGCTCCTGAGAGTATTCTGTCCTCCGTTGGAGGAACTCAAGAGGTAGGTTTTATCGCATCTGCATGTAACGTGTCCGGCTCAACGACGCTCTATTTCAGAATCTCCAGGTGGATCTGACCATCGGACGAGAAGTTTTCGACAATGCATACCATATCGACGTCGTTCGAACAACGCTGACACGCAACCTCGGTAAATGCTTCCCGGATATTATAGATGAAATCGGTTGCGCCTTTGCCGAGACTCTTGAGCTGGACGGTACGGGTAATAAAGTTTCGTTCGTACTTTGACATCAATCCATTGATTCATGCCTAGACTGGAGACTCGTGCCTGGATTGCCTACCCTAATGACTGTCGTGGCTCGTACCACCAACCGCATGTTTGTTGGACTCCCGATTTGTACGCGGTCTATACTACTCTCCGTTCATTGTCGAGTTTGTCAATATTAATATTATAGGTCGAAATTCAGAGTACCTCAAACTCGTCGTCCAGTTTACCATTGACGTGGCAATCCGGGCCCAGTTTATCAACCTCCTACCATCCGTTCTACGGTCGTGAGTTGTATCCCAACTTCGACACACAGAATGCAACGTAATTGTACTCAGGAGTCTTGGACCACTCATTTCGTCACGAAATCACAGCATTCGCCAGGGTGTAAAACACCTGGGACCCCTCATTGAGTACAGAGTTGCGCAGGAGAATGCGCTGGGATCCGACTGGCCTGGGAAACCGGTACTTCCAGCCTTCCCACTTCAGCCGATCCACATCTCACCGCGGTATCAGAACGACTTAATTTCTTGGCTCCTCGAAGTGGCGCCGGCACAGGACCGAAACGCACCCGCCCTCGTTCTACGGATCCTTGCAAACTGCATGGCGAGTATTCATACCTCGTCTACGGTCAGGAATTCTTCCCACCGCTACGTCTGTCTCTGCGGTTAATTTCATATTCTTGTCCAGGTCTTCACGCATGCCTTGTTCGAGCTCGCGGCGCACCCCGAATACAATGCCTCTCTGAGGGAAGAAGTTGAGCAGGCTGTCAAGGAGCTAGGATGGGCTAAGGCAGCGTTGAATCGGATGCCGAAGATCGACAGCTTTTTGCGAGAGACGCAGCGCGTTCATGACAACGGACCAGGTGCGTAATCCATCTGAATCACGACAGAAAATGACCTGCTTTCAGTGACCATGGTGAGAAAGGTGTTAGATCCCGCGGGATTTACATTCTCGGATGGGACACACATTCCGGTTGGCTCCATGGTGAACGTAGCAAGCCGCGCACAGCACTTCGATCCTGGTAATATATCCAACGCGGTGTCTCTGAATAAAGTTTGACTCCGCCCTTCAGCCAATTATGAACATCCCGACACCTTCGATGGATTCAGATTCTCCAAAATGCGAGAGGAACGCGAACGAGAGGGGAGCGAA